AAGACAATTTGGCCTCCCGCAGGGGCCCTCCCAGGGCGCATCTTGGAGTCTTCGTGGGACGTTTTCGTGGCCTCTTGAGCCGTCTTATTCGCGCGTCTGCGGCCTTGTCAGTCCGCTCTGGTCGCTTCTAGCCTCTGGAGCTGTTTGGGCGGCGGGGAAAAGGCCAAGGAGGCCCAGGAGGGCACGCACGGGGTCAACAATGACGTGGGCAAGGGGGGGGGATCCGGGAGGGTGTCTGGGCCTTGGCCCCTGGGCCCCTGGTACCCCAGCACTGATATCTATATCTATATATATATATATATCTATATATATAATATATATATATATATATATACTCGAACCACGCGCGCGCTTAACCACGCGCGCGCTTCGCGCGCGCTTAGGTTCTAGCTAGGATCGTCACCGTCGTCATCATGAACATCACCATCGCCATCATTCCCCCCGCCAGGGCTCATGTACATCGTTTCTGGATGCTTCTGGCCAGAATACGAAAGGAGTTTCTGTAGTTAGAGTCTCTGGGGGAAGACGCGGGGAAGCTTTTGTTGTCTTTGGTGTTGCGTCGCCAGGAGGTCTGGGCTCCCTCCTCCTCGTGTGCCTACCTCCTCTCTGGACGTCCGATGTCGTGATGCTTTCTGTGCGCGGCCCCTGGACCTCTCGACGACTTCCTGGGGATGTTTTTTTTTTCATCCTGAGTCGTTTTCTGACGGTCCCGGGACCCTGCGAGGGGCCCCGGAGGCCGAAAATTGACCGAAACCGCCGTCGTGATTTTTCCAAGACGTCGGAGGTCCAGGTCGTGCTTCCCGCCTCCCCAGACCTCCGACGTCGTAATTTTTGCGACCTCGGGCCCAGGAATCGATTGGGAAAACGCACATGGGAAGGCAAGAAATGATGGACCCATCATTTCGTACCTGTGCCTTGATCAGTGGGACGGGCTTCGCACCGCCGCACATCACAAGACACGCTCGAGCGGATCCAGCCGTGGCGACGTCGGGGACTGCAGAAGGTCGCAAGGACACGGAATCTGAAAGGAAGAAACAGAAAGAGAGAGAAAGAGAGGGAGAGAGAGAGACAGACAGACAGAGAGCGAGAGAGAGAGAGAGAGAGAGAGATGAGAGAGAGAGAGAGAAGAAGACAGAGAGAGAGAGAGGCAGAGAGAGGAAATGGAGAGGAGGCGAGCTTGAGTCAACGAAAGTCGCAGGGAAGGGGGCAGGGGGAAGAAGGCCAGAGAGCGCTGAAGGATACAAATACTGGAACCCTCTTGGGATTTTTTGGGGGGCCTCGTCCGGCCGCTCGCTGGGAGTTTGACGTAGCTTCTTGGGAGCCTCTGAACCTGTCGGGGGCCTCCTGGAAGCAGGTTCGAAGCATTGTGGGGGCCGATTTGGGGCTTCTCGGGGCCTCCTTTGGGCCTCTTGGGGGTCTCCTGGGGCCTCTTGAGGGGCCTCCTGGGGGCCTCCTGGCGGCCTCTTGGGGCGGAAGGCTCGAGCTTGCGGTTCGTGGTCCCCCTCTGGGCCCCCTCTTGGGCCCGTCTTGGGGCCCTCTTGGGCCATCTTGGGCGCCTCTTGGGCCGTCTTGGGGCCCTCTTGGGCTGTCCTGGGGCCCTCTTGGAAGCTTCTTGGGCCGTCTTGGGGCGGTCTTGGGCGCCTCTTGGGCCGTCCTGTAACGTCGGAAAGCCCAAAAGACAACTTTGTTGAAAATGTACGTTTTACGAAGGGAATGGGCCAATTTTTGCGTCTAGGGGCCCTCTTGGGACGCATGTTGGAGGCTTCTTGGGGCCTCTTGGGGGCGTCCTTGGACGTCTGGAGGCCATCTTCAGCATCTCGGAGCCCTCTTGGAGGCCTCTTGGAAGTTTCTTGGGCCGTCTTGGGCGCTTCTGGGGCCGTCTTGTCTGACCGGGGAGGCCTCCGGCAAGCCCCGACGAGCCTCCGGGCCCCCCGGAGCCCACATTTGTGGTCGAGGTCCCGGCCCCGGGCCCCCGGACCCGGTGCGCCGTTATATGTATATGATCTGCGACCTGGCCGACCAAGCGAGGGGCGTCCAAGAGGAGGGCTCGCAGACAGTAGGGGCTCGACCAGAAGAAACCTTACACAACAAACCCAACCCTGAGACCCCAGGAAGTCCATTGATTCTTGGTGTGGGAACATCGCGCTTTCCATAGCAAAACCATCGGAAAGCAAGAAACCCAGGGCACCCTGGAGGCAAGCGGGGTGTTTATTCTCATGGGTCTCCACTGTATCCTGCCTCGAGACACGTGCGCGGACGGGGGGATAGCAGGAGGCGTGCTGAAAGAAGAAGAGGGGACCATGAAATCTGGTGAAATACACGTCGGTCGGAAGAAGTATATTAAAAGCATGAAGAAGGAAGGCGGATCAAATAGATTGGGTCCAGGCCCTCCCTCAGGAATAACAAACACACATTCAAAGCAGATCGATTCTTGAAGTAGGAGGGCACTTGAAGCAGATTGGGATCTGGGAATCCAAAACATACATGCTTTCAACGGCCGACGCGTATCATTAGAGGAACAACAAACACCATAAACATATACTTTTGGCGCTCCGCGCGGAATTCTTGGATCTGCGCTGGACTCCCCTCCCTGGCGCGCGGAGCGCGCCAGTTGTGGCGCTGGAGACGCCGCCAGTGGGGCCCAGCGCGGATCCAAGAAATCCGTGCAGAGCGCCAGAAGCTTATGTTTGTGGCGTAACCTGCTTCCAACGGCCGACGTGTAACATGGTCTCCGCCATGACATCAGCCCCTCCCCCGTAGTAGTCGACCCACTCTTGGCCGCCCCCGAACGCCCTCCGGTCCGAGCCCGGGCCCCAAGCAGGTGATCAGCCCTGAGCGCCCGAGAGAGCTTGCGCCGCCGCCGCGGCCGGGCCAGCGCGCACCGTCCATTGTTCCAGAGGGGCCCAGGGGCACACAAGTAAAGAGACACTGATCCCAATATTCCCTATATTTTCTCATTTTATGGATTCTCGTCTTCCCCTCCGCTTCCCATATTTTTCCATATTTGCCAGGGAATCGACGATTATTTGTGTCTGTGTGTTTTTCCCCTCCTGGATTGTGCTATGAGGCAGTCCCTCCAGCCCTCTGGGTGTAGGTGGTTCAACGAACTCTTGTCTTCTCTTGTCCCACAACCCTCCTTCCTCTGCTCCGGGGAGGGGCTTATTACTGTTTCCTATTGGTCTACACCCCCTCCCCCACCCCGCCGACAGCCAACCCAGAGCAATGCCGACCCCATGACCACCCGCCCCCACCATCCCTGTCGTAAACAATGCAAAACACACTCTGCCTTCACATTTGGAGCATGCGCGGCCGCCCCACGAACACTTTGCATTGTTATTTTACAGGGGCGGCCAGGGTGCCAGCAGATCCCACCTGCCTTCTGGGCGCAGGTGGTCGACTAACTGCTTTGACGAATCATTGGCTGCTGCCTTCTCGTCTTTTCGTTCCCGATGGGCTTTCGAAGCCTCCAAATGGATCCAAAATTGGCCAAGAAAGCTCCAAGCCGGGCCCAAGAGGCTTCCAAACCGGCCCAAAGAACACCCCACTCGCGAGGTGGCCAGCAGCCGCAAGCATCCGCCAGTGCGTGCGCAATTGCTGGCGTAGCACTCGTTGCGGCGCACGCAGGTGAAGACCCTATCGGTTCCCAGTGGTTGGCGCACATGGCGCGGCTGGAGCACGTGGAACACTGGGTGCACGTTGAGCACGTGCCGCACCTGGCGCGCCTGGCACGCTTGGGCCTCCAAGGTGTCTGGTGCATCTGGAACCCATGGCTTCTGGTGCGCTCTTACGCGATATGCTGACACCCGGGTGTTGGTTATTTGTTGAGAGGGCGGTGGGAGTGAGCCAGACGGCTTGCGGGGGCCTCCTTGTGCTGTCTTGGGGCGATCTTTGGAGCCTCTTGGGCCATTTTGGGCCGTTCTTAGCCCGAACATGCGAAAACCCGAAAACGCATCAAAAATCATTTAACAAATCAATGAATGTTGCCTTTTGGGGGCCCTCTTTTTTAGCGCTCAGGAGATCTGACATTCGCAGGGTTGGTCAGTTCACGCTGCCACACACGGAGGCAGCTGCGGCAACCTTAGCTGACGAGCAACAAAACAACTGCTAGGGATAAGTATGGAGAGGGACAAAAAAACAAGAAGAGGGAAGGAAGAACGAGATGATGAGAGCAAGGAGGTCCGAGAGTCGTTGGAGAAAGAAATCGAGGATACGTCCCCCGCAAAAACACACGCACACGCAGACTGTCCGAGAGAGCGTGCTTGCGGAACCCGCGCACTGCGGGCAATCCTCCACATACACAACAGTATACGCAGACTCGACTCGACTCGCGCCCTGCACAGTCAGACTGGCCCCAGTCAAGGGGAGGGCGGCGTACTACGCGCAGGTAGGCAGGCCCACCCACGGCAGTGCGTGGGCCTGCCTACCTGCGTTCAGAGTTCAGTGCGTGGTGAAACGATCTTCAAATTCAGCCCACTCCTCCGGGTTCCGGGCAATGTTTGTCTTTTTGGGCCGTACGTGTCAGCGAAGCCGTCGGCCCACCCTTTCACAGGACGCCCGATGCAGTCTCTCTTGCTCTGGGCCGGGCCTGAGCTCCTCAACAGCATCTTGTAAGACCACTCGTGTGCATCACTTGACAGAAAGTTCCCCGCTAGCTTTCACTTTCGAGCTCTGCACTGCGCAATCAAATCGTCCATCCCAACGTCGTCCAGACGTTGTTCGATATCCTGGGCTATTCGCTGAATCCACTTCACCCATGTCTCGAAATCTTCCTCCCCATCAGAACTGTTTTCCTCCTCCTTCCCGAACCCGCAACCAGGCGTAGTATTTGCCGTGGGTTCATCGCAAGAGGGAGAGCTAAGCCGACCCGCTGCCAGCTGCGAAAAACGGATGCTGCTCGGCCGCCGACCACGGGAAGGACATGGCGCCAGAGATACACGCAGGCGTTCCGACAGGCACTGGGCAAGTGTTTCTTACACTCTCACTTAGAGCGGCGGCAGGAATCACATAACGATAACACAGCAAGTTACACGAACTTGGATTATGCATGAAATGTCGTGCAGACGATTGGGCTGATCATAACTTAGACTCAGCTCCACCAGCCACTTGAAGGCGCGAGGGGGGCGCAAAAACGTGCCACGGCTTTGCTGCCACGGGCAAAAGAACCGAACAGAGTGAATTATTACCACGAACGGAAAGCCATCGGCCACTGTGCCGCGGGCCCTGCAACAACAAAACCCACTTGACCCCAGACATGCTGTCAACTCAACGCACACATGTTTGTCCTCCTTCACCTTCTCCTCTCCTTGTGTCTGTGAGCTTTTTCTCCTCCTGACCAGCGTCGTTGGGCTGTCCTGGTCTGTCGTGAAGCCTTTCGGGGGCATCAGAGTCCCGCGCAGCTCTCTTGGATTCATCCTGAGCGGAAAGGGATGGCACAACGACTACAAACAGGACCGCCGCATGGCTGGACTCATGCTGGTCGCCTGGATATCCTCGTGGGGCCCTGGGGCCATCTTGGATGCACCCTGGGGCCCCCTCGGGCTGCCCTTGGGCCCTCTTAGGCGACGTTAGCAACGCCTTGGGCTGTTTTAATACAGCCTTGTTGGTCTGGAGCAACATGCAGCAAGCAATGCCTGCGGTGCGAACGGCAATGGGTCCCCCTGCTGTGTGCGGGTGCATCCCACTGCCGTCTCACATTTCTGCAAAGCTACGCGCCTGGTGGTGCCCAAACAGCCTGTGCAGCAAAGCTACGCGCCTACTCGCTACAGCAAATGGCGATGATGAAAAAGTCGCGGAGGCGCAATGCCGCGAGAAGAAGAAAGGAGAGAATCAGCAACATTGTGGGGAACTCTTTGGAGCATCTGTTTTGTCGCGACGCGAAATGGTCTGGGGAGGGAGGCGGAGCCTGGACAGCCTTCGGCTAAGCTCCTGGCTCGACGGTGCCAGATCGCACGGACTAGAAAGCCTGTTCTGGGTCCGGCCCAAAACTCTCAGTGAAACATCGTACAAAGACTTCCCATTTTGGGGGGTCCCGCACGTACGCCATGACGTGCTCGTCTGATGCGAACGAACCCGAAATGCAGTTGCGCAGGCACGATGCCCATGCATTCATCGGTCTACCCCGCTTCCGCTTGAGCGACGCTGTGGCCGAGCGGATCGAACCATCTTGACAAGTAAGCTGTCTCAGAAAACCTTGGTTAGAAGCTCTGCCAATTTTCCCGAACAATGTCAGCTGATGCCTCAATAACTGCGCTGTGTATGGCTGTTGCCCTGCACGTTGTAATACATCCTTGTTAAAAAATGTGCGTAAGAAAGGCCAGGGGGATGTGCAGCACCTTCCTCAAGCATCTGGCTTGAAATCAAATCCGTCGAGTCTCCTCCGTTCAACTTTGTTCAACCACGCCGTATTCAAAGAATACACCAGCTCGGATGTTACCAGTGCTTGAAATAGTTCCATCTTCTGAGTGACCACGGGCAAGAATGACCTCTGGTGTACAGCTTCTGGGGGCCCGTGAAGTGGGCACAGCCCAAGCGCACAAGCTGGGGATATCTCATCGAGCTCAGCGGTCGGGAGACCCTGGCAGCGCACCAGAAGGTCACTCTGGCGAAAGGCCGCCCTACTGCGTAATTAGCCTTGCCGGCCACGGGGCTCGAGGGGGCGCGGCCGACGGGCAGAGGCTGGGACCGGCGAGCCCCGGCCTGCCGGCGCGGCTCACAGGCTGGCGGGCCTGCGCAGCCCCGCGGCCTCGAGGGCGCCCAGGGTCCCACCGCTGCTGTGCGACTCCCCATCGGGCTGCGGCGGCCGCCTGGGCCCTCGGCCGGGCCTTCGTCGAGCGCCGCTGGACGTCCAGCGCTGGATGCTGCTGAAGGTCATGCGCGCGGTGCCTCGGCCCCGCTTGGACTGGTCCGGGATGTCGGCCAAGTCCAGGAACACCGTGGCCGAGAAGGCGAGCTGGCGCTGGCGCAGGTGGGTCGGCATGAAGTGGAGGGTTTGCGAAAAAAAATCCGTGGAGGTTGAGATATCGCCCTTGGTCTGGCCCAGGAGCGCGACATACGCCTCCTGGACCCACGCCACAAACTGGTCGTGTTGGTTCATCTTGACCCAGCTCAGAAACTTCGCGTCCTCGCAGGTGCCGAAGCAGTGCTGGAAGCTGTCGGAGAAGCACAGAATGTCGTAGCCAGCCGAGAGCACGTCGAACCAGAAGGCGGGGGCGTCCCCCTCGAAATCATTGAAAAACGTCGAGCCTGAAGGATCCGAGCCCAGGGACTGCTCCAGGTCCAGAGCGCCCAGGTCGCCGACGCTGCTGCTGCCGTTGCTGCTGCCGCCGCTGTCTTCAGCGTCCTCTGGCGGACCGGGGGGCGGCCTCGGCGGCGTTCCCTGCAGGTCCTGCTTTGGCCGGCCACCCCGCCGGCGCAGCTGCCTGATCTCCGCCAGACGCCCTAGGTTTGGCAGAAGCATGGAGTCAGAGTCGCTCACCTCCAGGACGCCCACCTTGAAGGCCGGGAGCCCGCCCTGGCAAAAATAGGACACGGCGAACACGTGCACGTTCACGGGCATGCCCGTGCTGTCCTTCATCAGCACCTGGAAGGTCTTGCTCAGGTCTGAGTGCTCATTCCCGCAGTCCCGCAGCTGCCCCATCTGTTCTGTGAACTTGCTGTTGTCGGATTCGGACACCAAGAACGAGCGGATGTCCTCCTGCTTGAGGCTGCGCTGGGGATTCAAGAACAGCATGTCAGCTAGCTCCCGCGAGTGCCTCTGCAGCCTGAACTCCGCGTCGAGGTCGACCACCACCACGCACACGCAGCCGAGCACCGAGGTGGCCGCCCGGAGCTCCTGCCTGGATAACTTGGACTGGAGCTCCAGGCGAACGATGTAAGTCAGGAGGTGGTGAAACACGATGATCATGCCCACCAAGAGAATCATGTTCTGAAACCCGTCGCTCAATATCTGCTCGAAGCTGTACTCATCACTCTGGATTTCCTCTGCGTTCTCCCCGAACATCAGCGTGTAGGTGGACGAGAAGCATAGCACAAGCAACCATGGGATGTTCACTATCGGCTTCAGATTCCAGAGACATAAGAAAAGGCTGAGAATGTAGATCATGCTCATGCGATAGGCGACCAGGTCTGCACGGATCGCATACGGTGACAGGTACACTACCAGGCAGGCCATCAGCGCAGAGAACCAGTAGTCCAAAGACCTGGCCGTCACGACGCAGACTTGCGCCCATTGCGATGCCCACATGATGGATATCATGCCGCTGAAGACGGAGAGAGCGATGTCCTGAACGATCGACCCGAACCTCTTCACGGAGCCCCCGTCCAGCCCGCTGCGCACGGTGAAGACGAAGAAGTTAATGAAGACCAGTGCCTGCGCCCAGGGGAGGATCCGCAGGGCGCGCGTCAGCCGCCGGCGCTCCAGCTCCTCGCACAGCGAGGCCTCGCAGGCGCCGTCCTGGCGCGCCCGCCGGCCGCAGGTGGCGCCCGACGCCAGCAAGGAGCCCTCGCAGAGGCGGCGGCCCCGCAGCAGGCCGACGAGCACCACGAGGCAACAGGCGAGGAGGCCGCAGGCGCCGACCATGAACACCACAAAGTCGCGCTGCCTTGAGGCCACGAAGTTGCCCGGCGAGAACTGGGCCATGCCCTCGTCCGGCAGGCCCGCGTGGGGCGCCGGAGGTGAGATTGCCCGAGCCGAGCTTGAGCCAAAATGGTTACGGAGCCTTTTGGGGGCCCTCTTGGGAAGCTTCCTGCAAGCCTCTTGGGGAGTCTCGGGGCCCTATTGGACCGGCTTGAGGCCATACTAAGCAATCTTGCAAAGATCTTGGAAGGTCTTGTGGTCTCTTGGAGCGTTCTGGGGCCGTCTTGGAGCCGTCTTTGACCTCTCTTGGGCCGTCTTGGGGAGTCTCTTGGGCCGCCCTGGACTCCTCTTGGGCCGTCTTGGGGGCCTCTTGGGGAAAAGGGTCTTTAGACCTGTCCCCGCTCCTCCCCCCTCCCCTGGACCCCTACCTGGAGGGCTTCGCCTCAACTCAACGTCATCACTCGTACCTCTTTTCGTCACCTAGTCACCTAAATCCCCCCTCCTCCCCCCCCTCCCCTGGACCCATCCCTAAAGGGCTTCGCCCCAACTCAATGTCATGACTCATACGTCGCTCTTTCCGTCACCTGGGCCGGCACGGGAACGGAAAGCGATGGTACTCTGTGAGGGCATGAGCTCGCTTGCTCAGTGTCTTGGAGCCCTCTTGCTGTTATGACTTTGGCACGGCATACGAACAACGAACAACAAACCTTGCGAAAATCAGTCAATATCGCCTCTCTGGGCCTTCTGCCGTCTTGGGGCCCTCTTGGATCGTCCTGGGGCCCCCTTGAGCCGTCTCGAGTGGCTTGGGCCCTCTTGGAGCCCTCTCGGAGCCCAGCCGAGGGCCTCTTGGTGACCTCCCGTGGCCCTCTTGGAGCTCTCTTGGGAACCTTACGGGACCTACTCCCCTCTTATGAGGGGACCTACTTCCTCCAGGACCCGTTTCCGATGGGCGGCCTTGGCACTAGTTGTTCGTCCTGGACCTGTCTCTGATAGTCCCGGGGGCTGAAGTCGAACTCGAGGAAAGACGCCGGGATCGCACAACAAACGGATCGTCGGAGATCCACGTGGAGGGCCGCCTGCGGGACCCTCGCCGCAGGCGAACGAGGTGGGAACCTTATGGGACCTACTCCCTTTTCCTTATTCTCCTCGCTCCCCTCTCCCTCACGTGCTCCCCGAAAGGTTCAACCGCGGCCAGGGGAACACATGGTCCGATGGCTGGTCCAAGCTCTAGCCAGCTTCGGCCACATAGACGACTCCAAAAAGGCAGGGGGCGGCGGTGGTTCGCCGTAGGCGTCTTCGATACGAGCGGATGTCCTGGGCCGGCGCCGAAACCCCTCCCCGGCGCGCGGAGCGCGGGACGACGACGGAGGCGAGGCCCAAGGTGCGCAGGACCGAAAAATCCGCGCGGACCCCCCAGAGTTCAGGCTCGTGCTGTGAGGAACGCTGAGAGAGGAGCGAAGGCCCTGGAGCCGGCTGGGGTCAGAGGTGGCCCAGCACTGCTGCCGGCCAGCAGGACTGGGGGAAGAGGTTCGAGGCTCTGGACATGAGAAGGTCTGCTGCCGCTCTCGGCCTCCGGGGGCCGCTCTCCGGCCCGTGAGAACGGATCCAAGGAGAAAGGCTTCACCAGATGGACCTTAAGGAGGGGTCCAGGGACCGATTTTGAGCGGAGTTGCCTTATCCTCCCTACATTACCGAGATTCTTGGGACCCATTCATTTCAGACCCCCAGGCCGCCTCCAACGAGGACCCCTTTTTGGCCTCACAATCGTTCTGGCGCGCGAGCGCTAAGAAGGAACGACCATGGAAGCACCGCAAGAAGAACGAGATTGACTGTATGCTCGTGCCGTTCGGTGGAGGCCTCCCAACTGGGGCCAGAGCAAGAGGGGTCGGAAGATCGCACCGCATCGCCGACGAATCGCCGATGCACCAGAAACGTCGGGACGGAGAACATCGGGGACCGGATCGCGCCGCATCGCCGATGCATCGCCGATGCGGTGCGCTCCTCCGACCTCATCTGCTCTTTGGCCCCCGTACGGGAGGCCTGGACTTTTGCTGCTGTCCGAGAGGGCTGAGTATCGTTTCACCCATCCCCAGCCCCAGCGGCGTGGCCCGGGCGCCACTGGCCGAGCTACCCCCGTACAGATGGGGATCTAGGCCGCTGCCTTCGGGCTTCGAGGAGCACATCCCCGACTCGGGGGAAAACCTGGTGGGGGCCTCGAAGGGGACGGGGATGGGGGCTGGAGGACGGACCGTGGCGTGGGGCCCCCGGAGGCCCGCCTCCCCCTCCCAGGCCCGCTGCAGCCCGGGTCGCTGGCAGGCGGCCCCGGCCCCGGGGCCGGGGACCGGCGTCCGGGCCCGGAAGGAGATGGGCCTCCGACCGCAGCGAGGTCCGTCGCGAGGGCAGAATCTCTGGAAGTCCACCTCCTCAAAACATGTGTATATATATATATATATATATATATCCTCTGCCTCCAACCCTCCCTCCCTCCCCCATCTACACACCTCTGTCCCTCCTTCCCCCCGTCCCCGCCTCACCGAAACCACAAGGAGGCAAACCCAGGACGCAACGCACGCAATCAGCGGCCGCGCCTTCGCGTCTTCGGGACCGGGCGGACTCCAATCGCCAACGGCGGGAAGTCGTCCGCGGCCAGGCCGGGCACGAGGCAGTTCAGCTCCTCCATTTCCCGAACCCTTATCCTTTGTCCCTCCCCCCCTGCGCCTCCCCCTCCCTCCCCGTGGGACAGGAAAGACGACCTGGACAGTCTTGCTTTCCCCCTTTCCACTCACTTGTTCCCTCGCCCTCCTCCTCCTCCTCGTCCGACGTCGTCCTCTTCATCCCCCCTCGCCCTCCTCCTCGCTCGCTGGCCGCTTTGTCCTCCCTCCTCCTCCTCCTCATCATCAGCATCATCATCAGCATCATCATCAGCATCAGCATCAGCATCAGCATCAGCATCAGCATCAGCATCAGCATCATCATCATCATCATCATCATCATCATCAGCATCATCATCATCCCTCTCCTCCTCCTCCGCTTCCTCCTCCTGTCCTTGTCCTCCTCGTCCTCCTCCTCCACTTCCTCCTCTTCGTGTTGTTCCTCTTCCTCCCTCGCACTCCTCCGCACCGATCCTGCTCCCCATACCCCATCATCCCCATCCCTCTCTTCCACACACACACGTACATTTTGGCGCCGCGACCCCGCGCACGGCGACGGGGCGTAGAAAGTCGAATGCAAGCAGCAGAACGCGCGCCTCTACGCCCGGCCCAGTTCTCAGATACCACTGAGGCCTTGACAGCCGGCAGCAAACAGAACCATTCGGGTCTGGATGGCGGGGCACGGCAATGAGCGGACGAGACTGCGTTGAGGGCGGAAGGTGACATAAGCCAACGGGGACTGAAGGCGGGGGCAGCGAGTAACCGAGTGCACCGACAAACGATAACAACGATATCGATAACGATAACGATAACGATAACAACGATAAAGATAGCAACGATAACAACGATAACGGCAACAACGATAACAACGATCACAACGATAACAACGATAACGATAACAACGATAACAACGATAACAACGATCACAACGATAACGATAAAGATAACAACGATAGGGATAACAACGATAACAACGATAACAACGATCGACAACGATAACAACGATAACGATAACAACGATCACAACGATAACAACGATAACAACGATAACGATCACAACACTCACAACGATAACAACGATAACAACGATAACAACGATCACAACGATAACATCGATAACAACGATGACAACGATAACGATAACAACGATAACAACGATAACAACGATAACGATAACAACGATAACAACGATCGCAACGATAACGATAACAACGATCACAACGATCACAACGATCACAACGATAACGATAACAACGATAACAACGATCACAACGATAACGATAACAACGATAACAACGATCACAACGATAGCAACGATCACAACGATAACGATAACAACAATAACAACGATAACGACGATCACAACGATAACAACGATAACGATAACAACGATAACAACGATAACAACGATACCAACGATCACAACGATCAATGCTTTTCTCCTGCTGTACTCGCTGGAAGTACGTGACACGGGACAAAAAAGGCCCGCCAAGGACTCTGCCGACCCTGGGTGTGAACTCGCTGGCTAAGCTTGCTCGAGCCTGGAACTACAAAAGGCCCCTTGTCGTGACGGCGCCGGCGCCCCTTGTCGTAACGGCGGGGGCTGGCGTTACGACGTTTTTGCTAATTAGGGCATGCCGTCGCTGCGTTCGGCATTTTGCTGCCAGAAAGGGTTATAGGGGTTATGGCCTCCTTCGGCCCCATCCATCCACCCAAAAACGTATCTCCGCAGCATTATAATCTGCTGCAGTGCATCTTCGTACAAGCGTGCATTGAACCCTTTGAGTACACTGACAAGATGCGCATCCCCCAGGCGCCAGCTCACTCTCAACTGAACGCCGAAGCGGGGCCCCAGATTCGATTCAGGCGCGCAATGACCCTACAAATTTGGGACTGGTGGCGCTGGGGAAAATACGGAAGAACAAGATACCTAATGGGACCTCTGGACCCCTCATCTCTGGAACGGCGGTGGGGGCGAGTAGTTCTGTCTGATTGCACCAGGTGAAGGCCAGCTGCTTTAAGCTGGTCCATGAAGCGCGACGTGCAAATCTCTGCCTGGCTTTTGTGCTTACAGAACCTGAAGAAACGCGAAACCTGCGCCTGGGGCCACGCTCGATGCACTGAGGGGTGATGAAGGGAAAAGGGAGAGAGAGGGGTCCACTGAGAAGATGGCTTCGAGTGGACACCGAACTCTAGCCCGGCTCTGCCCTCAGATTTGCGTCCCCTGCGGATCTCCACGTCGAGGAACGTTGCACCATCGTGGCTGCGGGATTCGAGCTCCAGCTTGAACGGGCCCGATCTCTCGCGCATGGCACCCAGGAAGCCCATCGGGTCCTGACGGCGGCCGTCGAAGAAACATATAATATCGTCTTTGAACCTGAAGTAGCACAAGAGGCCCACAAACTAGCGATACCCTGCGTCCTTGATGAACCATTTCTCTGCCATCTGAAAGAATGCCCCGTCACTTGCTTCTCCGGAATAAGCCAATCCCATGCCCGTCCCTCGCACGACGCGAAAGACAGGATCGTGGCCAGTAAGTTTGACGTACTGGTTCTTCATCACGAATCCAAGGGCATCCTTGAATCTGTGCTTGGCTGCGCCTTCGAAGAACTTCTGGCACTCTTGGACCAATGATGGGTGTTCGCCTGACATAAAGTAGTCTTTGATGTCAATTTTTAGAATCGTTGCTTGCTCATGCAGTCGAAGGCTTCTTATATTCGAAAGAGCGTGTTCTACCGCTGCTGGCGGAAAACCGGGGGGGGTCACCGCCGGTTCGAACCCCCCCCCCCCCCTCCGGAAAACCGGGGGGGGGGTCGCTACCGGTTCGAACCCCTCCCCCCCCCCCCAGCTCATCATGAAAAGGGGGGGGGGTCACTACCGGTTCGAACCCCCCCCCCTTTCCCCCTCGAAAACCGAGTGGGGGTGCGGACAGTGGTGGGGACGGTGTTGGTGGGGACAGTGGTGAGGGGACAGCGGGACAGTGGTGGGGACAGCGGGGGGGCAGTGGGACAGTGGTGGGGACGGTAGTGGTGGGGACAGTGGTGGGGACAATGGTGGGAACAGGGGGGACAATGGACAGTGGTGGGAACGGTGGTGGTGGGGACAGCGGTGTGGGGACAGTGGGAATGAGGTGGAAACACTGGGACAGTGGAGGGTACAATGGTGGTGGGGACACTGGTAAAGGCGGTGGCGAGGACGGCGGTGGGACAATGGGACAGAGGTACAGCGGGGACAGTGGTGGGGACAGTGGGGACAGTGGTGGAAACAGTGGGACAGCTCAGTGGGACAGCGGAGGAGTCAGTGGGACAGTGGGGACAGTGGGGATAGGCAGCGGTTGGGCCCGTGGAGACAGCGGGGAGAGTGGAACCGTGGTGGGAACAGTTGTGGGAACAGTGGGGACAGTGCGACAGTGGTGGGGGCACTGGTGGGGGCAATAGGGACGGTGGTGGAACCAATGGGGACAGTGGCGGTGAGGACAGTGGCGCTGGGAACAACAGTGGGGGATGTGTGCGAGCGGTGGTAGGGACCGGGAGCGGTAGGTCCGGTCGAGGGGACCGGGCAGTCCGGTTTGGGGGCCGGGTTGCGTGAGGGGATTTTCGGAGAGGGGGGGGGGGCCCCCGGGTTCTGGAGGAAAAGGTTGGCAATTCTCCGCAGTAAAGCGGCGGTGGATCACGCTCTCTCTTATCTTCGCAACGAAATCACTTGAATCACGAATCAAATGCGGAATGCTCTTCAAGCATGTCCGCAACTCCGTGGCAACGTACTTGTACATGG